ATGAACATGCATAAAAAGTGGCCACATATGAACTCATGCGTAGCCACTTTTCTATGCATGTTCATGGTCACCAAGCGAATTGAGAATAGGACTTATTATCTTTTTTTATGATTCCTTTTCAACCTGTACTTGCCATCTAAAAGACTTTTATTTGTTTACAATGAACCGTCATGTAACACAAAATAATGGCAAATTCATCTTATCTAGATGTATCGATTATATAGAATTAACTTGTTCTCAACACTGATGAAGACGTTCTCGTTACGGACTTATAAATAAATTAAATGAAAAGTAAAAAAATCTTCAAACACTATGAACTAAAAGCGTTAGAAGAAATTCATTTAAAATTTTAATACAACTTATGACTGACATGTACTGATAGCTATCGGCAACTTTGTATTATACATATAGACATATCGGTATAATATGGACATGGACTACACTTTGGTTCACTTCAAACGATCGCTCCAGAGTTGCCACCTCTTTCGCTTTTTCGGATAAAAGACTTTCATTTGGTCATTCACAATTCGATATAGAAAAAAAGTGTTATTGTTCAATAAATGGTGATCAGTGAGGTATATAGTCTGTCATCAGAGGTATCAGTCAATCTGTTAACTTACTTGAACAACATTTAATTTTTTGCTATGAACGAGAGACTGATTTCAACTTCTACTGATCAAATAAAAATACCATTCTACGTTCAACTAAAAGCTAACTCTGTTGATACATTTGCTTTTCTCTGCTTTATTGACACAGAAAAAGGGCACAAATCCGAAGATTTAAACCACTTTTCTGTAACAAATGCATAACGAGATAATAACTGAGGATGAAAATCGAAAACAGCAACAATAATACTATAATCAGATGAACATAAATCTGTATAAACCATAAAGGATGCTTGTAGATCCAAGAATTATTTTCATCCACATCGACATTTACATCATAAAACTATACAAGATTTAAAAAGTCAGCAAAAATATAGATTTCCGCTTTTTTCCACATTTTTTCGATGAACTTTCCGCTTTTTCAACTTCATGAGGTGGCAACCCTGGACCGCTCTCTCCCTCCTTATTATTGGTGTATAGAAAAACAATGTTCTTACAATTTCGACGGCAGTTATGAGCAAAGAAAATGTAATAAGGAGCAGCACTATCGTTCCAGTTGAACGAGTGAACAAAAAGGATGAATGGATATCTATAGATATAATGAATACGTAATAACAAACAAAAACAAAAAATGACTCGTATGTTTGAATCCTTGCCAAATGAAATTTGGCTTATTATATTTAGTTATCTATCTTCACAACATATTTAGGGAGGTTTTTTTGGAATTAATAAACTTTTGAATCAATTACTAACTGCTGATCTAATTCGTCATACAATCGACTTGAAAAATATATCTTATTCTGAAATAGTTGAACTACTTGAAGATCGTGACAATAATTCAGATGATCATCGATGGCAAGCAGAATTTGTTTCTCATGCTCATGCGATTTGTCTTAAAAGTCAATTTCATTATGAAATATTAACCTTTTCGCGGTGATGTCGCCCACCGGTGGGCGACGCTATAGTTTAACGAGAAACTGTATAAAAGAGCATTTTCTTTTGCTTTTTTCTTAAGCAGGAGGTTAAGCATAAGATGTCATATCTTCTGTCTTCAGTACTTTATTTGAGTCCTTTATTCCATAGCATAATGCTTATCATTAAAACACTGAAGACAAAAAAAAATTATCACAGTCAGAGCAGAAAGTTTTTACTTTCTTTGCTACTGCATTATTCGCTTCTCTTGACTGTTGTGCCCTTCCCTTTGCATAGCAGACAGTGCATCGTCTGCCAACATTGCGCGTAAATCCTTCCTTTTCTTCGAACCCGTGATCAGCAAGTTTGCGCTTGGAATGACTTGTTGACTGTTGTCTCGGGCCAGGTTTCAACTTCTCGAATGGTGCACCAAGGAGTAAAGATCGCACCAGACTTTCACGAAACTGTAGCATGGTTATATGACTTGTATCATTATTTTCCTTATCAATCAAATAGGCTTTAACTATTGCCATTCCAAATACCAATTTAAATGCCACCTTTTGATACCATTTTACAGATCGTCTGAGGCATGTATAGTAACTTCTTCGGAGCTTGAAGATTCGAATTGCATTCTAGCAAAATCATCATCCAAAGAACTCACATCACTCAGTGAGTTTTCGCTATTTTCTGTATCAGTTTCTTCAGACGACATGTAAATCAGTCCAAAACTTCAACGGTTCCGGTACACATGAAAGAAAAGAATCAAAGATAATGCTACGAAAAGAATGCAAAAAAAAACGAAATTGCGTTTCGCTATCTTGTTTCTACTGCGTAATACATACGAAAAAGAAAGTAAACGTGAATAATTACTCAATGCGATGAGAAAAAGAATCATCTATGTAGTGATACAAACAAGAAAAAGAAAAGCAAATGGCTGCACACACTAAAAAGGTCAACGAGTGTATTTATCGTGAATGAATATACATGAAAATCACCAAATAAAAGCTATTTTCTATCAAAAACGAATCGCCTCGAAAGGATTAATGTATAATGAAAACCATTTTATCTTGTCAATCACATATCCACAATCATCGAACGTAAGATGGAAAAAATCGGATATACTGACGATAAATAAACTGAGAAAACTGTTGAAGAAATAAATCAATTATTGGATTCATAAAAAGAGAAGATAATGGAAAATATTTGGAAGTTGCTCGAGATGTTTGACGTAATAAATTCATATTTAAATGAAACAAGTTCTAATTTATAAGGCAATTAACAGAAGATCAAATGTGGCATCATCTATAATAGAATGTTAGAAAGATAAAATTAAAGAAAAATAAAGTTTTAGAGAGATTAACGATTTTTGTTTGATAAAAATTAATTTTAAATTTAAAAAGTAATTTTTGAGAATATAGTTTCATTGGTTGTCAATATTCTTTGTCTGGGAAATGTGAAATGAATCATGTTTACTTTCTATTATTAGTACTTTCTTTTTTTTTTTATTTTTATTAATTTGCAATAGATCTTGAACAAGAAGCTTATTTTATTCTGTGTAAATGTGAAAATTCAATATATTTATTGATATATTAATCTTTAAATTCAGTTTATATATATATTCTCATTAAACCGAAAAATTCTGTCATTATTCCTTGTATATGAACAATTACATTTTCTCATTTTCAGATTTTACTTGATATGGAAAACAAGTTAGTAGTAGTTATAACACATCCAAATCGTAGTGAAATTTTACCGGTGGTACATGCCATTCATCTTAATTTAACAGTAGCTAATAGCACTGCACGTAAACTTCCATCTCAAACGGTTAATCATTTTCCAAAATCAATTGTTATTGATATTCCAGCTAATATCATGGAAGAAATTAATGATTATAAAAATAAACTAAAGAGCCGCGACGATGAAAAAGTCATTGAAGGTGATGATGAAAAAATTATGGAAGATGATGATGAAAAACCTATGGAAGATGATGATGAAGAAAGTTATAGTGAAGATAGTCTAACAAGTAATGTTCATTCATTTAATGATCCCAATATATTATTCAAAGTATCGGCTACAATTACATATATGTTCGGTAAAAACGACGTAAAAAAACAAACAGCTAAACGTGCAGCGATACAAGAAAGCAATTGGTTTGGTCTACATAGTATTACACTTTGTAGTTCGTATATTTCTTTTCTTTTTTTTTATAATATGCTTTGTTTGTTTTAGATCCGGAACCCAATAAAGAAAGGGTGTGGGTGTAGTATAGAGATAAAATCCGATTCCCACACCCACACCCGTTTGAGTTTTTTTCGTTTTTCCTGGAAAAATCAGGCCTGTTTTTAAGGCATTTTTTTGTTCAACTATTGCAAAAGGTTCTAAAAATCCAAGTTAAAAATCATTGTTTATACGGTTCGATGCGTTTTCATCTGCTCTTTCCAACGGTGAAAACCACAGCTCTCTATCTTGTTCCTATCAAAAGTTATTCAAAAAATACCCACGTGCCTTTTATTTTGAAATGGGCAGTAATATATTGTATAGCACGAAATAAGAAATCAGTATACATTAAGATTTATCCTATAAAAAAATTCTATGACAAGTAAAATAGAGTGATTATCATTAATAGTATTGTTTATACTATTTACAATTGATAAGAGAAAACAAATATTGTTTCTCTGAATATAAAATATACAAATTTTCATTCTAAACTTTATTATTAAAAAAAATGTGCCACTTTCTAATATAATCTATGAAAATATGGTAATCTTATGTACTGTAATAATAGATTTTAGGTAGTGAGATACTGTAAAACTGAAAATTAAAATTGATTGATAAACTAAATTTTATAACGAAATTTTGCGGATGTTGAGATAACAATGGAAGAATAAAAGTTAAGATAGAAATCAAATTCGATTAATGAATGACTAATTGAGATAATAAATTATTTTCTATTAGTGCTAAAAAGTGCCGCATGTTAATGAAAGAAATTCCCTAGAGAAATTACTGAGTTCAGGGTACCCATGTACTGAGTATGCT